TGACCCCCACCATTATCCCCAAACCATGGTTTCCCTAGCTAAGCCAAACCATGGTTTCCCTAGCTAAGCCAAACCATGGTTTCCCTAGCTAAGCCAAACCATGGTTTCCCTAGCTAAGCCAATTTTCTGGCTTTACGCCCCATGCCGAAGCATAAACTATGCACGAGGCTCCTATGGGACTCTGCGTGCGACCCTCCAGAACTTGGCTTAGCCTGGCCTTGATTCTTCGCCTGATGCCAGCCTCTTGTGCAACGTTCCCCCTTTTCCCCTGCCAGGCGAAAAGATGGATCCATGAGTTGCATGGCCCCAGACACCCTTAATTGGTTTTTCTAAAAGGTTGCCAAGTATCAAGAGGAGGGGAGCCTGGCCAGAAATCCTAAATGGGGGGGCAGAAGGAAGATCCGAGCTTTTGACATGCCTGGGTGGCATGCCAAGAAGAGAGATGTGTCTTGCTGGAAAGCCTTGGGGCTGCAGTGGATGTCAGTTCTGGCAGAAAAATGAAATGATGGGGTGGTTCCTACAGCCTGATGCGCTGGGTAGATTCTGCAGGGGGGTTTTCAAAAAAAAAGGGACCCCCCCCCAAGTTTGCTGGGAAAGGGAGAAAACAGCAGATTGCTCTACCGGTGGAACAACGTGCTGGGCTGGGGAAGTTGGGCTCTGTTTATTTGCATTTATTCATTTATAATCTCCCTTTTTACAGCCACCCACTCCTCCGTGGGATTCCCAGGGCACTCCCCTGGGGTTGAATGAATGAATTACATTGTGCAGGGCTCCATTCACAAGACACGGTTAACTTGCTTTCTGAATAAACCTGGTTTTGGGGTCTGCATAATGCACTGAAGGATAAACTAAGAATCGTTTAGGATGGCATGACCTAAACGCCACACTAACCCTCGCCTCCCCAAAACCTGAGCAAGATGAACCCAGCATATTGTGTTGTGTGAATCTATTTACAAGGTTTTTCTCTAACTGGAGTAAGTAAGTACTGTATGGATCAGGGTTTCTCAACCTTGGCCACTTTAAGATGTGTGGACTTCAACTCCCAGGATTCCCCTGAAATAATAGTAAATTATAGATAGTCCCCAGTTTAAGAACGAGTTCCGTCCCCAAGATCTGTCCTTAAGTCAAATTTGTATGTAAACCAGAACAGTCTGATTGTATAATACTGTCTAAGTCAGTGTTTCTCAACTTTAAGATGGGTGGACTTCAACTCCCAGAATTCCCCAGCAGCTGGCTGGGGAATCCTGGGAGTTGAAGTCCACCCATCTTAAAAGTTCCCAAGATTGAGAAACCACTCTTAGGTTGGTAATTGTATTACAGTATTTAATTGTATTCATTAGTTAAGGGTTGCAGAATATATTGAAACATACATGAATGAAATGATCCGGGTCTGCAAAGCATACAGTCACCCCAAAAGTGAATCCTGATGAAACTAATCAAACCTAACATTGTGTTGCGTGAATGCAGCCACTAGGATTTTCACTGACCTGGTTAAAGCTGGTCAGTAAGTGAGCTGTCTTTGTACATTCGAATAATAAATAAATATTTTTATTTGTTTAATAATAATATACGTATGATTATTGCATTATTTAATTTTAAATGATATATTATTATTAAATATTACTTAATATAATAATAATATAGAATAATAAAAATATATAATAACAATAAATATAATAATATAATAATAATATTTATTTAATAATGATAAATAATAAATAAAGGAGTCAATTAAGAGCCAAGTTAGTACAGTATAGACATGCTATTGAAGGAATATCAGATTACATTTTTGACTTTGGCAGTGGCTGAAAACTAGAATTCTTTTAAAAAAAAGATTTTTTTATGATGGAAGAACGGCAGAAGCAGCAGCTATGCAAAGACCCCATCAGCATCGAAATAATATCAAAGAAAACTGCAAGTATTTTAGGACTTTGTGTCGGCCCAATGAAGATATTCTCTATTTTAACAGGGTGAACACACATCAGTTTATCTGCAAACGAAGGAGTTTGGCCTGCAACACTTTATGCTAGAATCGCCGAAGACACAAACTTAATTTTCACGTCTCCTGAAAAGTACATTCTGTTACGTTCCATGGAATTTATTTCCAGGAAGGTGAACGTATGATTCCACTTTATTTTCCACTATCGCAAGCTGTCGGTGATTTTGTTTCCTTGGGCTAAAGCCAGGGACCTTTGGAATGCATTGATCCGTCCAAAATCAGTTCCCTGTCCTTTTAAAAATATCCACTGGATTTCCTTCTTTCATATCGGAAAATTTTAGTTGACGCTTCTAAGGAGCGTAAGATGTCAGGCTTGCCCCACTTCGGATGGTACAGAGCGCTTAGTTATTTAATGCCGCTGTACTGGCGTCTATAGAAAAGGATGACCTCAAAAAAAAATAAAAAAATAAGTTTTTCAGGCTGGAATCACATAATCCATTGGGTCTGGGTTCTCAGCCCATTTTCTAGGTTTCCATAATACACTGGACGCTGCGCCAAGCCTTTTGTCGAATAATTCAGGTTAAGACGTATTCTGTGAATGCAGCCACAAAGCCTTTTGTTGATCTTGCTGGCTTGCTAAGCGGCGAAAGTAACCGAAACTCGCATTGGCTGAGGATGATGGCAGTTGTAGTCCACCCTATCTGGATGGTAGGTTAGCTCACTGCTCCTCCTGCTTTCAAGGTTAATGAGTCTATTTCACCCTTCCCCCAGCTGGGTGCCCACCTAGCATATTGGATGGCACCTCCCATAATCTCCACTGGCTGCTGGGGATGAGGGGTGTGGTAGTTAGAGAAATCCCTGTTTGGAAGGAAGGTGCTTATTCAGTGGATTACAAATTGGTGCAGGCTATAACATGAGTAGCCAAGCCCCAGATGAGCCACGTGCTAAGAGATGGTGGAATAGCTGGTGAATAAATGAGGAAATTTTATTTAAAAGCACAAAGGGGTCAATTTTTTTCTCAATGCACAAAACAATGATTAATCATGTTTCTAGTCCTCAGCTTCAGTAGCGTTTTCTGCCCAAAAACACAAAGGGATCGGTTTTTTTAAAAGCACAAAACAATGATTAATCATGTTTCTAGTCCTCAGCTTCAGCAGTATTTTCCAGCCCCGTCTTAGGTCTCCAAATGTGTGTTTTTTAAAAATTTTATACTGCTCATTCCCAAAGGCTTAAGTCCCCTAGGGAAGCCTCCTCTGAAATGCATTGGATCACAGCTCCCATAAGCCCCAATAGCGTGTCCTCAAAGATGAAGGCTTATGAGCTGTGGAAACTATATATCCAGAGGGCGGCAGGTTGACGAAGGCCTCTTAGGCGCACTTGCCAGTCGTAAAGATGGAGGCCAGGAATAGAGTTGGAAGGGCAGGATTGCGCGTGCGCAGATCCAGTCTAGAGGTGACCCGGAAATGATTCTGCCCGGAATGGTCATGTGAAAGGGCTGTATCCCAAACAACTGCAAATGGACGTCGGTGGGTTCTTGCAGCTGGAAGGGGGGGCAAATGGATGGAAATCGGGGGGGGCGCTCGGAGCTTGGCTTGCCGGGCTTTCTGCGCTGGGCGGGCTGGTGAGAGACGGAGAGGTTTTATCAAGCAAGGCGCTTCTCTCTCCGAGGGTTTGCGTGCCTCTGAGCATGTGCAGAGTGCCGCGCCGCTTTGTTGTGGGAGCAGAATTGCTGGTAAAGGCTGCAGGCGAGGGGGAGAAAAAAAAAAGACGCGCTAAAAAGAGAAAAGATTAAAGGACTCGAAGCACGAATCGGCTCCATCCTTCGTAGGGTCTTTTGAACTCCTTCTCCTCTGTCAAACGTCCTCTATCTTTCCTAGATAGAAATTGAGTAGGGTTCTCTAAAAGAGTCAATCCTCATCCCTTTCTTTGGAAAAAAGTGTTTTTTTTAAAGGGGTCTTTCCCCAAAAAAGTGTCCATTGGATATGGCTTTAACCGCCCTCATTCTCATGCGCTGTTTCTAAAATGTGTATTTCCAAAGGTGCGTCCTTGGAGAGGCATGTTTCAACCTCCTCCCCTCCTCCCGGCTCTTTCTGCGGAGCTGAGAGTGGCTTTATCCTGAGAAGGCTTCCATCCTTCCTCTCGATATTCCAGGGCGGTTGGCTGCTGACTCCCCAAAGACAATAAAACACAAGAAGCTACAACCGGGCAGCTAAGACCTCGGGTGGAGGAAGAATTCTGGGGTGGAACTTGCTGGCTGTTCAAGGTCTCAGAGGTGAAAGAGAGCTTGAGGACTAGAAACCTGACTTTCCTGCTGTCTTTGCAGGCTGTTGGCTGCAGCCTGAGGCTGACGAGGGATTCCGTGCCGGAAGAGTGTGGCTCCGTTGATCATGACCAGCAATCTGGACATTTTTGTGGGGAACACCACTTTGATCGATGAGGAGGTCTATCAACTGTGGCTAGATGGGTATTCGGGTAAGTCTCGGTCCTTCATGTCTGTTGTCTCTTTCTCATGAGAAGGACGGTATAAAAGCAAAACCCGCACACATTTCCTACCAGAAGGGAGTTGATCTTGGCCTCCAGAGGATCAGGGTTGGATTGTGCAAAATCAGATGTTTCTTACTGACCAGGGCTTTGAAAGTGAACCAAATCGCTCTCCTGAGCTCAGTATGGCATAAATGAGAGCTTCCTAATCTTTGGGATGGGTGGACTTCAGCTCCCAGAATTCTTCCATGTTGGCTAGGGGAATTCTGGGAGCTGAAGTCCCCGCATCTTAAAGTGGCTGAGGTTGGGAAACACTGCACTAGGTGGTCTCTAAAGTCCCAACTCTGGCGACTTAGGAGAACGTTAGCTGGATGCACGCCCGTGTTTAGGTGTGGGTCTGGGTATACTTTTTCTTTGCCTTGATGGGTTACGTTAGGCTTAAAGACAGGCCCCAAAAGTTTGCAGTCCACAAATCTTCCCCTGGTGGAGCTCCCTTCTTTAGCTCTTTGCTTTCCCCCAGTGGACGATGCCGTCTCTCTTCGACTGCGTTGTGGCATCTTGGAGCAGACGGGGGCCACGGTGGATGTCCTCCAGAGTGATACCATGGACCATTACCGCACCTTCTACATGCTGGAGCGCCTCCTCCACTCACCCCCCAAGTTGCTGAACCAGCTGCTCTTCCAGATTCCCCCCTGCCGCCAGACCATGCTGATCGAAAGGTGGGTCGGCGTTGTGGGAGGACTGAGAAAATGTCCCCCCGGTTGGGTTCGTGCAACACACTAGCTTAGGTTCGAAGGAGATTGGCTGGGTGGCAGTGGAGGAGTGTGGCTGCCCAGTTGTTGTTTTGAAAGGTTGTGTGAATCCATTCCTGCAAAGCTCAGAGGCAGGTTTTTTGTCTGTGAACTGGGCAGTTCTGTGAATTAAACTGACTTTGGAATCAAGTCTGTTACATGACTCCAAGCAGAAAGAGAGCTTGTATTTATAGGTGATTTTTATAGGTGTGTATGTGTGTGTTAGTAGGTGTGTATATATGGTAAGTTACATGTGTGTGTATCAGGGGGCAATATATATACACATACATACATGATAGATTGTGTTTGTATACTATATGTGTGTGTATGTTATGAGGTGTATATATATTGTAAGTTATATGTGTGTGTGTCAGGGAAAATATACAGGTATACACACATACACACAGGATAGGTAGTGTTTTTCTCTATACTATGTGTGTATGTTATTAGGTGTGTGTGTGTGTGTGTGTGTGTGTATATATATATATATATATAGTAAATTACATGTGTGTGTATAGGAGAAAATATAAGTATATACATATACACGCTATAGATAGTGAATTTATATACTGTATATATTTGTGTATGTACGTTATGAGGTGTGTGTGTGTGTGTATGTATAGAAAGATAGAAAGATAGAAAGATAGAAAGATAGATAGATAGATAGATAGATAGATAGATAGATAGATAGATAG